TCTTGACCTACGCCAACTTGCAGGGTGTGTCGTTAGGTGACCCAACACTATTAATATGTGTTATAAATTATGTCTTATTAAATATTTTAAAGGAATTAATCCTTGGTACGATTCAGGTTTTTATTCTTAATTTTCCCAATTAGAGATCGCACTGACAAATTCAATTTATTAGTAATAACCAGGGCGGAAGAAAGTAAGCAAGAAAAAATCCGTTTTAAGCGCTTAGATAAGCACAAAAACATCGGTAAATATGTTCGCAAAACAACAAAAATTAAATACAGTTTAATGTTTTTTTATTCAGTTTACTTCAAGGATTGAAAAATTACAATGGGCACACTAGTTTTGCTCGATATTCTCAAATAATGGAGATCTGCGTTGGTTGGTCTTAATTTTTTTAAATATTCGTTATTCGGTATTCAATGCTTCCCGTAGAGACAAACCATTGGTATTAAATTTTTTAATCCAAGCAGAAATGGAATTAAAGTTACGGGTTAATAAAAACTAGATCTGTTTTTATATGTTATTATTTTCCATGATACAAATATTTCAAGGTAACACCGCTCGCTCAATTCGTCGGCCATCATTTATTTTTTGAAGTTTGTCTACTTTATAAAATTGAAATTTTGAGAGCAACTCAAGTAAAACAAAAAACAAGTATATGAAAACATTCAAATTTTCTTTTATTTGAGAATGGAAGTGATAATGTATTTGTGAGATTGAAAATTTGAAAACATTTTTGTTATGCTAGCAAACTTCAAAAATGTCCAGGCTGTCTCTCAGCGGTTTTACCTTTAAATTTTTATATCATGATTATTTTCAAACATTTAATTAGTTCGACCAATAAAAAAGCCCAAGAAATGGTCCAAAAAAATTTATAGAGCCAAATTTTCTGAAGCAGTACGAAGTTTTTAAGAAATTTGCTAAGCTTTCTACTATGGTTTGCTACAGTTTGTTTGTGAAGAGTACCGGGCACCCTTGTTTTCAACAGAAATATATGCCCGTTCCATTATTTCGTAAGGAAAAAGTAAGACAGCAGGCTGTAAGCTTAAATTTTTTGGTCCTGGTAATAACTTCCCTGAACCCTTATTGGTACGCTTTTGCGTACTGTTAAAGGTTATGAATTTATTACGCTCTAATTTTTATCCTTCTTGCCTGCCCCAAATCAGCAACGGATAAACTTTCCAATGATGGCATATCCTCTAAAAACATCGATAGTAAGAAAAACATCGATGTTTTCAAAAAAATAATTAAACATCGATACTATCGATAGTGCTCCGATGTTTTTTCAGCTCTATTAAGTGCGGGTGATAAACACATGTAGCTTAGCTACTGTGTACATACCTGTAATTAAAGTGGGGAAAAATGTTACAATTTCGGCATATGACTGAAAACTAAACTACCTCACAACTAGTATGAACCGCATGCCCAACTAGTCAGCCAACTACCTTTTTTCCATGCAATCAACTGGTATTTTTAACATGGGGATGTCCTACGAGATGGAAATTGTCAGATTTCGATCAGAAATATACCAGTCTCATACTAGTTCAAAATAGACAGAAAAATACTAGTCAAATTATGGACCAAAACCACTACTTTCTTCTTCGTAATTGGCGCTGTAACCGCCTAAGCGATTTTGGCCGAGTCCAAAACAGCACGCCAGTCATTTCTCTTCTGTGCTGACTGACGCCAATTGAAAATGCCAAGTGAAGCCAAGTCCTTCTCCACCTGGTCTTTCCAACGCAGAGGAGGCCTTACTCTTCCTCTGTTACCAGCATCGCGGCCCGCGTTGAATATTTTCAGAGCAGGAGCGTTTCTGTCCATCCGAACGACATGGCCAAGCCAGCGGAGCCGCTGAATTTTAATTCGCTGCACTATGTCTATATCGTTGTAAAGCTCATACAGCTCATCGTTAAATCGTCTGCGATATTCGCCATCACCAACGCGTAAAGGTCCGTAAATCTTTCGCAGAATCTTTCTCTCGAAAACTCCAAGAGCCGCCTCATCAGATGCTTTCATTGTCCATGCCTCCGCGCCATACACCAGCACAGGCATGATGAGTGACTTATAGAGTGTGATCTTTGTACGACGAGAGAGGACTTTACTTCTCAATTGCCTACTCAGCCCAAAGTAGCACTTGTTGGCAAGAGTGATTCTCCGTTGGATTTCAAGGCTGACATTATTATTGGTGTTAATGCTGGTTCCCAAATAAACGAAGTCGTCTACTTTTTCAAACTTGTAACTGTCAACAGTGACGTGGGTGCCAATACGCGTATGCTCTGACTGTTTGTGCGATGACAGGATATACTTCGTTTTGTCCTCGTTCACCACCAGACCCATTCGCTTTGCTTCTCTATCCAATCCCGAGAAGGCAGAACAGACGTAGCCCTTGTTTTTACCGATAATATCGATGTCGTCGGCATACGCCAGCAATTGTACGCTCTTATAAAGTATTGTGCCTGAGCGGTTCAGCTCTGCGGCTCTTATTATCTTCTCCAACATAAGATTAAAGAAATCACACGAAAGGGAGTCCCCTTGTCTGAAACCTCGTTTGGTATCAAACGGCTCGGAGAGGTCCTTCCCTATTCTGACGGAGCTGGTGGTATTGCTCAACGTCATTTTACACAGCCGTATTAGTTTCGCGGGGATACCAAATTCAGACATCGCGGCATAAAGGCAACTTCTCTTCGTGCTGTCGAAAGCGGCTTTGAAATCGACAAATAGATGGTGTGTGTCGATCCTATTCTCGCGGGTCTTTTCCAAGATTTTGCGTATTGTGAATACCTGATCTATGGTGGATTTTCCAGGCCTAAAGCCACACTGATAAGGTCCAATCAGCTCGTTGACGGTGGGCTTCAGTCTTTCGCACAATACGCTCGATAAGACCTTGTAACCTATGCTTAGAAGGCTAATTCCGCGGTAGTTGGCGCGTATGGCGGGGTCGCCTTTCTTGTGGATTGGGCAGAGCACACTTAAATTCCAGTCGTCGGGCATGCGTTCATCTGACCATATTCTGCATACGAGCTGATGCATGCACCTCATCAGCTCCTCGCCGCCGTACTTGAATAGCTCGGCTGGCAGGCCGTCAGCTCCAGCAGCTTTGTTGTTTTTCAGCCGCGTAATCGCTATACGTACCTCGTCATAGTCAGGCGGTGGGACAGCTACTCCATCATCATCGACTGGGGACTCGGGTTCGTCTTCCTCACTACTTTCAGCGCTGCTACCATTCAGTAGGTTATAAAAGTGTTCCCTCCACAATTTAAGTATATTCTGGACATCGGTCACTAGTTCGCCATTGTTGTTCTTACAGGAGTTCGCCCCGGTCTTGAAACCTTCCGTAAGTCGCCTAACCCTCTGGTAGAATTTTCGGGCGTTCTTCCTGTCGGCCAGCATCTCAAGCTCCTCGCACTCACGTATTTC